CATGGCCCAGAGGGAGGAAAAACTAGCCCCCTTGTGCCTTCCTGGAGACCTACGTCTCATAAAAACGTAGAAGGACAGGGCCCCCAGTTCCCAGCTCCAGCCAGTATGGAAAGGTCCCTTCCCAGTGATTCTCTCTACCCCAACTGCTGTGAAAGTTCTGGAACAGAGTGCTTGGATCCACCATTTATGGGTAAAATTGTGGAAGCCATTACAACCTACTCCCTCAGACATAGATCAAACGGAGCAAGGTAAGCACACATGTGAACCATTAGACGGCTGTAAGATGGCGTTTCATCGGCACCCTGAGACAGATAAGTGCTCTGCAGAAAACTTTACCTCAGACCCACAACAGTCTTTAAGCTACTATGTGCTATAACACGATTCCTGTGTTAAAGTAAAATTTCAAACTATGCCTATCAATCCAGTGTTAACAGCAACTCCTGAGATTTCCTTTTGAGTCTTTCAGTGTAAAACTAACCTACACTTCCATGAACATTGCCATCCATAGCTTTTGCCCTAGCCTCACCTAAACTGTTCATTCACTTGTTTTGTTTCTTCCAGATGTTGTCATATTACTAATGACACTGAGCTAAGTTTGCCACCTACCCGGCCCCTGTCCCTTGCCCAGGATCACCAACCCCCAATCTCATCCACCATGGGCCCTTAAGTGGATGACAACCCCTCCCAATAGAGTAGGAAGGGCGTGGACCCCAAAGCCCACTTCGCGTCCAGTAACAGCAAGAAGTATCCAGAGATGGTCGTCACCCAGAATCCCCAAAGATTTGGATCCATACTCCTTCTGTGCGGAAATGTTAGGTAGCCAGACAGGGATTAAGGGTGGCTGTCTCCCCAGTGCATGCATAGGGCCACAACAAAGGGGTTGGAAAGAAATCAGGCACACTTAATTAGACACCTATGGAAAAATCCAAACTGAGCATGCACAAACTAGACCCACTTAGGTGCAGGTGAAGCTAAACCTGGATGCACAACCTGGGTCCATGACATCACACAGGTAGGCCTAAACTCAGCCAATAAAGATCAGCCGATACCCTCAACCCCACCGCCCCAGTCAGGTGTGCTTAACAGCAGAGGGTGGGATTCTCTCCCACGTGCAGGCACACATGTGCCACTTTCCTTTCAGGCCCCTCTTGACCTCTGGGATTTCCTGGTTCTGCATGTGTGGGTCTGTGCTCCTGTTCCTATGTTTTTTTTGGTTCCCATGCAGCCTTATATGCTTTTCTGAAATAGCATGTACTTTTTTGAGGCTGTAATATATAGAACTTCCCTTTTCCTCATAAAAGTCACTTGGATTACCAAGGGTTTGGCACTATACTGTATCCTAATTGGGACAGATTTGACCCGGAGATGCTGGAGCAACCGGAGCGGATTTTGTTTAGCAATTCCATCTAGCTGCAGTACATTCTAGGTGGTGCGGAATCCTGGTCAAAGAACTGCACACTTTCCCTTCCAACCCTGGTTCAGCTAGAACATTTCTGTGGGAGGATGGGGAAGTAGGAGCATCTGTACTATTGAGGAACCGTAAAGACCTTCCTTTCCAGTGTACACAGGACCCCCAAGGGGCCCTGAAGCTGAAGGCTACTCAATCCCCAGCTCTGGGGCCTCACCTTCAGATTCTGAACCTGTAGAGGCTGGGAAAACAGATGAATCTGCCAACATTCTACCCTTAGTAGAGACAGCTGGAGAGTTTGGTCTCCAGGCCTTTCGCCCTGAATGAATTTTCTGGTGTGTATCACAAGTGGACTGAAGTCAGGTAGGCAAAAAGCCATTCATTATGCCAAAGTGACAGCTATCCATCGGGGCTGGAGGGAAGCCCCAGAGGCTTCTGAGAGCAGCTAAGAGAGGCCCTGAGGAATCACACTGCTGTAGACGTAGATTCCTACGAAGGGCAAGTCATACTCAGGGACAAATTTCTCACATAGGCCGCACCAGGCATTTGGAAAAAGCTCCAGAAGTTAGTGCAGAAGCCCGAAGGAGTTACCCCAGAAGAGATGGTTGCTGGGGCTAACGCAACTTTTACAATAGGAAACAGGAGGGGGAGGTGCAGGATCAGGAGAAGGAAGGACATCAGACATGCCCAGGTACTGGCCACACTTGCTAACCAATGCTCATCAGCTGCCTCCCAAGTTTCCAAGACCCATGGCCAAAGTGCCAAGTGCAATGTGTTGGGAGTGAGGCCATTGAGCATGGAACTGCCCTAAGTGGAATAGGCCCCTCCGAGGGCCATGCCACCACGGAAGCAAACTGACCACTAGGTAGTCCTTCATCCTATGGCCAACAACCAGGAGGGTAGGCACCCCCGGACTGGCCAGTGAAGCAGCAGGAGAGAGCTGTAGCGGGTCTGGAACCTCGGGTGAGCAATCAATGTGGCAAGAAGGTCAGTAGATGTCCTCCTAGATACTGGGGCAGCCTATCCTGTCCTTAACCTCTTCCCTAGACCCTGGACACCATTCGTGGGTGGAATTGTGCACACAGTTGCACCCAGACCCCTCAGAAGCGGAGCATAGACAAGTACCCGAGAGCTGTTGGAGGGTGTTTCACCGCCACCTAAGACAGATAAGTGCTCCACAGAAAACCCTACCTGAGACCCACCAGTCTTTATGCCAGTAAATCCTTTTACACAATTCCTGTGCTTAAAGTAAACTAGCACTCATGCCTGTCAGTCCTAAGATTAGTTTTCTAAACTTCCCGTGACTCCAGCCCACACCTCCAAGGGCACTGCCCTCTAACAGCCCTACCCAAACTGTCCACCAGTTTTGTTTCTTCCAGAAGTCCTCAGGTTACCAATGTCTCTGAGCCAAGTGTGCCAGCTCCAGAATCACCAGCTCCTGGACCATCCCAACCTCACCCATTAGGGGCCCTGAGTGGACAACCCCTGCCAACAGAGTAGGACGTGTGTACACTCAAAGCCCCACTTCGTGCCCCTTTTGCCAGCAGGAAGCAGCTAGAGATGTTGTTGTCCAGTACCCCATATGTTAGGTTTCTGGTGGGAATACCTCGATTCTTGACTTCACATGAGAAAGAATTCACACTGATCCCTGGCTTGTGATCCACGTGGATTTTTATGAAGGACAGAAAAAGTTTCAGGTTTTACAGTCACTGAACACGGGCAACCTCATGGGACTGCACACACACGTGGCAGCCTGAGGCCAGAGAGAGACTGAAGTAAAGCTGAGCAGAAAGCATTGAAGCAGCCAAAGGGAAAGAGGGCCAGTGGGCTCCAGGTTCTGGCCTTTAGGGCCCTCGGCTGGGAGGCGTGGTCGGCGATACTGGTTGACCCCATTGGCTGAATTAAGCCCACCTGGCCTAGTTTGGGGCCACCCAGGTGTACCGCCTCCCTGGCTCAAGGGCCTGAATTTGGAGCTTGCCTAGTAGATGCCCCTTGCCCCTGCTCTAGCTACCTAACGAAACCACCCCAGAAACCTAACATAAACAAGGCAGAGAGTAATTTGTAAATACACATCTGAAAACTACAATTATCAGTAAAAATGATATAGTATAACTGTGAAATAACCTAAACCTAGAATGGCATGTAAGAGAAGGTTTTAAATATACACACCTTTACATATATGAGGGGCTTCCAAAAGTTCATGGAAAAATAGGATTATAATAGGATTTTTCCATCCATTTTCTCAAACCCCATTCATATTTATCCTTGGTGATTTATTCAAGTTTTGCTTCAGCCCCATTTTCTTTCTCCTTGCTTCCTGGGAATAATTTTGTATGTTACACCTTTTCTTTATATCTGCTGGGTCTTACCCTTTTAAAAAAATTTTTCTTTTTGTGACTCCAAGGTTCATTCTGCATATTTTCTTGGACCTTATCTTATAGACTTTACCAATTTTCTCTTTCGTTTTGTCTATACAGTTATACTCATCCGCTGAATTTTTAATACATTTAAAAATAATTTCTACACTCTAAATATTTCCAGTTCTCTGTTAATACTTCTCTCTTCTCATTATTTTTCATTAAGCCATTCAACCATTTCCATAATTTATTAAGGCATAAGGCTTACATTTTTCTGGATTGAATATTGCATTTTCACACAAATAACCTTCTGTTTGTTTGCCAACTGCTCTCATCCCTCAGGAGGTATTTTTGTAAATGCACTATGCTACCTTTCCCCCTTAAACATGAAAAACAATGCAACAAAAAACTCCACCTCCCAGGAGGAGGAAGTAGTTGGTTCATACAAGTAGAAAGCATAAGGCATCTGCATAAAAATACAGTACATTCAGTCAGGAATTCCTTTAAACGATCTTTTCATATGTATCTAATAACATGTCTTAAGCAGGGAGGGTCTACTTGATCTGACTCGATATAAAAATTACAATTGTGAAAAATATGGTTATTCTAGTAACATCTTTGACATATATGCCACATCAAATCATAATATGCTTTCACTAGCATTTCAGAGTCAGCAGGTACATTTATAAGACATATCAACTCCTAGTGAAATTTACCAAAGTCCCTATTTGCCTGCAATTATGGTCAAGTATGACCGTCTACGTATGACCTTAACTCTCTTTGTATTTCCAGAAATAGGTCTACCATTTCTTCATATACTAGTAACACTTGATTCTATTATAAGACAGATTAGTTTATTAACAGTCTAACTTTAGTGAAGAGATAAAAAAAAATACAGAAAGTTTCTCAAGAAGTTGTCTCAATGTAAATGTTATTATACTAATGCAATTCAGTCTTTACAAAAGATACTTATTAAATGAATGAGTAACTGAGTAACTGAACTCAAGGCCAAGATGTAAAGGAATAAAAACAGAAATGTGGGGGAAGAAATATAAGCAGAGTGAAAACACCACTCAGAAGGAATTTCAGATTTCAAGGCAACTTGTCTACTTTAGTCACATATTCCCATTGCTGCTTCTTCATTTCAATCTCGCAGAATACTTTTTCAAGAACAATATTCCTCTTGCCTGGATAGTATGGATGCTCACAAAGTGAAACAGTAGAAATACACTCACCCACTGGGCTGCTTCCAGCTCCATTTGGCACTGTAAGGTCGGAAGTGTTCAACATCCCACCTAACATAACAGCATGATAGAGAGATGTTAGAGAAGAGAAAATGAATATGAGTTAGCTATCTTACATGAGACACACTCACTGAATACAGGCAAGTCCCCGACCTCCCACTTAAAAAAAACAAAACAAAATTAAAACTGGTGCAGTCTAATCATGACATTAATATGTAATTGGACATAGTTATGTATTAATTTGCCTATTAGGCTCATATTGATAAGAATAGGGACAATTCTCATGGCCTTAAACGTTGATGAAACTCTGGATGACAGACTGATGCAATAAATGCATTGCAAATTTATGCTGAATGAATGAATCAGTTTAGGCAAGAGAGATGGAAAAACACCCTAAATATCAATCAGACAAATCTATTCCCCATACGGGTATGTATTCGCTTACCATCCATTTCATCAATATCTGACTACATACACATCCGTACTCCCACAACGTTGTTTTGTTTTTAAAGGGAAAGTAGCTCACTTTTTGTTTATTATTTCTCCTTGCATGGAATTAAAAGGAGCCATGCTGAGGCAGTGGCTAGAACACCTGGCTGCTAACCAAAAGGTAAGTGATTGAAACCCATCAGCTGCTACAAAGGAAAAAGATGTGGCAGTTTGGTTCCATAAAGATGCATAGAATTGAAAACGCTTTAGGATGGTTTTGTTAAAACCCTCATAGGGTTGCTATAAATCAAAATCAATTTGATTACAATGAATTTTACTGGTTTAAACAATTTCAAATCCAGATTTTTGTAGCACTGAACCACAAATCAGATATAGGCAGGTGAAGCAAAGGGTACAGTTCCCGTGTGTGCTCTTGGCCTTTGTTCACTGGGCAAGTGTCAGCTGGGCACTCCCCCCTTGTTTTGGCTCTATGCCCACCCTCTCTCCTTCTCAGCCCCTGCTCCTCCAGCCCCGCCAACAGCTCCAGCAGCAGCAGTGAGGATGAGGACAACTGGAAATGCGTTCTTATAAGGTTGTTTGATTTTTCAAATATGATTTCCACCATATTTTACCACACATGTTCCCAATCACATACTGTTCTACTTCACAGAACATGTCACAGATGTTGAGTAATGCACACTTGTATTTCCAACACAAATGCCGTACAGGTGGTGGTGGTGTCGGCGTGTCCATTCTCAACTCCAAGTGACCCAATGTGGCAGAGCAGAATTTCCCCACAGGGCTCTGGAGGCTGTTATCTTTACGGGAACAGACTGTTCATTCTTTCCCTGTGGACCCGTCGAGTGGTTGAAATCACTAACATTTTGGTTAAACAGCAGCACAGCACAAATGGTTGCCCCAACAGGGATCCTTACGTGGCTAATGCCCAACTGAAAATTCTTGCTTATGATAACCAAATTAAATTTTCTGTCTGTAAAAAAGTATGGCTTTCTTATGAGAAGTTTATAGAGGGCAGGCTCTTTATTATGCTCTACTTTGCCTGGCTGAGTGTTACAGCCATAGGAGAGGTATAATGAAAAAATAATTTAGTATGGAATCAATCACATTGCAGTGATTCTACTCAATATCAAAGCAACAAATGAACACAGCAGAATATATATATTTTTATGTTAGCAATTAATTTTTCCTTCTCTTTGTTAAGTAATCAGCAGAGTAGACATTACTATATACCTGCATTGCCAGTACTTGGTGGTCTCTGAGGGGCTCCTGGGGACACATTCCGATGTAACGTGGCTTGAGGTGGAGAAAGAATGCTTGAAGAGTCTGTTACCGCCGAGCTAGATGTCAAAGACGGGGACACAAGTGAGCTCCCCGGATCCGTGTATGACAGGGCACTAGGGGGGGCCACAGGGACTGTCACCGCCATTGAGAAGTTCTGAGGTGGCAGACCAGGCTGCGCAATGAAAGAAAAAAGGAAAGAAAGGGTTAAGTTTCATTGTCACCGATACCAAATAACTTAAGAATCTTAATTAAACATGGTACTTCTAGAAATTAAAGATAAAGGTGGAAGTCAGTTCTTAACTTTATTTTCAGATGTGAGGCGTTTTCTTTCCATTATACTTTTAACCTGAATTATGACTTGACAGGTACCTTTTCCATAAAATTTTTATACATTGCTATCATATATACTAATATAAATCTACATTATGTATTTCAAATATTCACAAGGATAAAATTAGCGATTATAACCTGATTTACTACAGCACTACCATTTAGACATTAAATTTTTATTATTGTTACCAAGTAAGCAAAAGTTAGCAACAGTACATTACTATGACAGATTCTAAATATAACAAGTGGACAAAGTATTTTCATTTAATATCAATTTAATACGTGAAACTTGGGACATTATTTTAAAAGTCTAGGTCTGATTTAATTGAATGACATTCTTAATGGGCAAAATTAAAAAACGCTCAAGTCATTATAGAATTATAATGTGATACAATGAAAATGCAAAGAAACTTTAAACAACAAAATTAATTACTAATTGATGAAATAGTAAAGAATTTTGATATGAGTTATTTTAAATCTTATTAAGATTATAGGACAAATGTGATAAAGACTATCTTCCCATCCTCCAAAATACATCACACTTATTCCTAACTATACTCATGCTTTTCTCATATAAATCTCTTAGAATATTTAATAACAATGATAATGAACAATCTACTGATTAATCAAAAGTAAAAGGAGAAAAAAATATTCTTTCTCCTATAATTAATAAGAGTGATTTGCATAGTAACGTAACTGCCAGTTTAAAATTGGAAATATATATATGTTTTGTACTACTTTCAACAGTAGTTTTCAGAAGAAAAACTACACTAATTATCAAATATAGAAGATATGATTTTTAAAAGTTCAAAGTTAAAACAATTTTATTCCTGTAGTATTTTTGCAGCTTAATTAACTGACATTCTCTCATAGTACCCCTACAAGGTTTATTTTGTTTGTAAAGCAGTAATTTTGTTATCACATAAAAACTCCCTTATAGAATTCCTTTAGAATTCCTTTCCTTATAGTGTAGGTCTTTGAATCATTATTTATGATGTATTCTTTGGGGCACATGAAATTAAGAAAATTATTGCTACCAATTAAATAAGTATCAGATTTCGAGCTAATTATGTGCCATGACACTTCTAATACATATAGAAAATTAGAAAATGACATCCAGAATAAGTATTTTAAGTAGTTCTTGCCAATGGTGAAAAGAACTTCAGGCTAGCAGAACTCTTGAAAGAACTATCAAGTTCAGGAACATGAACTCAAATAAGTACTGTTTCACTATGATTAGATGGATGAGCAGAGCAAAAAAATGTATATCAACTATTCATTTTGTATTCATTTTAAGAATATTGCTTCTTTAAATCAAAATTAAATCAAGCGAGTACTTACAGTATAAGGTAGGAGTTTGGTACTATCCAAATGGAATATTTACAAAGCACAGAGCCAAACAGGCTTAATTGTGCAAGTATTTTAACAATTATTCAAAGTGAAAAAAAGGAAAGACCCTTGACAAGATGGACTGACACAGCGGCTGCAACAATGGGCTCAGACACAAGAACTATTGTAAGGAAGGCACAGGGCCAGGTGTGCTTTTGTTGTTGTAGATGCAAAATAATTAAGTTTAAAACCAAGACGAGTGTGTGTCAGGGTTGTATCCTGGCACCATACTAATTCAATCTGTAGATACTGAGCTAGATGATATAAGAAGAATGTGGTATCAGGATTAGAGGAAGGCTTATTAAACACCCTTGATGTGCAAATGACAACTCTGCTTGCTGCAAGTGAGGAGGACTGGAAGCACTTGCAGAGGAGGCTCAGGACTTGCGGGCTTCAACATGGACTACAACTCAATGTAAAGAAAATCAAAATCCCCACACCCGGCCCAATAGGTAATATCATGCTACCATGACATCATGGATAAGAGGTGGAAGTTGTCAAGGATTTCATCTTGCTCAAATCCATAATCAACGCTCGGTTAAGAGATCAAAGAACACACTGCATTGGATGAGTGTGCCACACAAGGCTCTTCAAAGTATTGAAAAGCAAAGATGTTACTTTGAGAATTAAGGTGTGCCTGATCCAAGCCACATTATTTTTGATTGCCTCATGTGCAATCAAAACTGGACATTGTACAAGGAAGGCCGAAGAATCTATACATTTAAAGTATGGTGCTGGTGAAGAATACTGAAAGTTCCATAATTCAAAGAACAAACATCTGCCTTGGAAGTACAGCCAGAAAGCTCTTTAGAGGCAAGGACAGTGAGTCGTTGTCCACTGCACTTTGGCCATGTTATTAGGAGAGACTGCTGTTATTGGGTGCCATGGAGTCAGTGCTGACCCACATTGACTCTATGCACAACAGAAGAAACCACTGCCCGATTCTGTGCCATCACAGTGTTCCCGTGCTTACACCTGGAAAAGGATATCATGCTTGGTAAATAGTTGTTGCTCTGACTCAGCAACACTATGTACAGCAGAGGGAACTGCATCTCAGTCCTGCACCATCCCCACATTTCATCTTATGTTTGCACCCATTGTTGCAGTCACAAAGTCAATTTTTAAATATCAAATTTATAAAAAGATCACTTTACATTTTAGATTTTCATGAACTCAAAATTTTAAAAAGTATTATTTGATCTACTCAATTAATGTTTTTTAAACAAAGGGAGGGAAAGTAAAGTCTTACATATCCCCTACAGTTAATATCATAGAGTACTAGAGCTGCCTGGGCCTTTCATATCCACATGAGCCAAATCACTCATTTGCAGATGAGGAACCTGGAATCTCAAAGGCACCTGGAGAGTAAGGAGCAAAGAATGGAGTGGGTCATTTTCTTTTCACATGTACTGTGAGGAAACGGACTACATAAGGTTTCAGAAATTTAATTTAAAAATTCTATAAAACCAAAATAAAAATTAGTAAAACAGTAGTTTGTTTTTTTCCTTTTACTTATTGTTGCCATCGCTCTCTGTGAGCATAAACAAGATGAAGTGTGGTCAATCGCTTCATGCACAGAATGAAAGCACAAACCATACGTTAGTACTCACTGCGATTTTATGATTCCTCATCATATTATCAAATTCCTCATTAATTTTTTTGTATTTTTCTTCTGTGTGTGGAGTGAGCACATAGGAAGTATCAGGGTCTGGGCTGTCGCACCCTCTGTGTTCCTTCTTGTTCAGAGCCTAAATAATGAAGTTAACAAAAAGGATCAACAAATAAAAAGTAGAGGTAAAGTAAAAGTACTTACAGGGCCTCGTTTGAAAATAAAATCACTATCTTCATTTAGTTTGCTGAATCTGTCCTCCGAGAGTGGACTGTGCTCAAAATAATCGTCAGCATCAGGGCTCTCACAACCATTAAGGCCTTTCTTTCTTAAAGTCTGAAATACAATTGGAAAATTCACACACAAATAATACTAACTTGCCATGAACTTTTTTTTTTTTTGTCAAAATTTTAAGAGAGCACAGACTAAATGAATTACACAAGAGCCACTGAAATGGTTTAAAGTGATCACAAATGCATTCTCATTTTGGAAATAAGGTAAGGTTTACATAAAATAAAAATAAATGAATGCTTCTCATCCTTTAAGAGAAAAGGAATACTTACTTGTTTGGGCTCTCCCATCACAAGCTACTTATACCATACTAAATTATTCACCGCTCTCAGTTACACCTGTATCTAATTACATCCTGATAACTTATATACTAGGGCCAATTAATGTGAGACCTAAGATGGAAATATGTCAAAATGATGCTTTGACATGTTAACAAACCAATTTCCTTTATCGAAATTCCTTTCCATCTAAGAAACTTTACCCTGTTTACCTGAAAGAATTCACACAGAGGCCCAATACACATAATTTAACTAATTTGTTTCTGATTAGTAACATTTTCATTTTCCTACTTAACTTTAAAGGGTAACAAAGGTCATATGTTGTGTGTGTGTGTGTGTGTGTGTGTAATATCACCTGCGCTGATTGTATGCACATTATATTATTAATGACTTTATATATTTTTAAATGTTTAAATATAAAAAGTATCTACCTTGGATAACTCTATAAAGCTCCTTTATGAATTCATTTAATTTATTGGTTTTCTGGAGAACTTTTATGAGTGTCATCAAAGTAGACCCTACATTTTTCTCTCCCCTCATCTGGGGAGAAATAACAGCAAACAAACAAACAAAAGCTGTGTGATATCTAACTAACACAATGGGTTTTCTTCTTTCTGTTTTTAAACTTACAGTGTCATCATGAAATGAACGGTTTCATTTTTAAAAGAATAAATTTAAAATCAATTAAGCTGAATATATGTGGAATATTATGGCTTATATTTTAAAATGTTGTTATATGCTGCCCACTCTGACTTATGGTGACTCTGTGACACGGCAGAACTACTGATTTCAATAACTTAAGGTTTAAGACTTGCTGATTTTTATAATCAGCCACTAATAAGTATTAGAAAGTTAATAAATGTTACCAAGTAGCTCTATGTAGCAGAGCTTACTCAATTAGGGAACAAATTTTATTTTTAGTAATTTACAATAAATCCTACTATTCTTTAAAATATGACTGATAATAATTATACTAATTTCACTTTTTCCTTGAAAGAAGTAGAATGTGAACATGATATTTGAAGAGTGGAGAACTATTTTGATTTTCTGAAATTTTACTTATTTAGCTTGGTTTTCATCACATGCATAAAGAACCATAGGCAGTCATTATTATAGATATGTACCTACCTTATCAAATTACCTGGCATGTATTAGTAATTCCACACACAATGCCTAAAGTTCCAAACACATTAAACTACAACATTTGGCAAGCACTACATCTGTTATACCAACATCTGTCCCATTGCATTAAGCAATGCGGATCTAACAAATCACATGACCATTTATGTACACTTAGCCATAACAGGTTTAAACACTAAAGGACAGAGATAATCCATCTTCCCCCAATCGAAGTATTAAGTTCTGCCTGCCAATCTACTGCAGGTTGCTATCAGTAGTGAAAAGGTTAACATTTAGAATACTGGACCACATTTAATTCTCCTTATCGATACAGCCCTAGAAATACTACTTATAAGTAGATTTTGGTAAACTCATGATACTGCTTACCATATATGCTCATGTATAAGCTAAGTTTTTCAGCACATTTTTAATGCAGATTTTGTGGTAAAATTAGGTGCCTTGACTGATATTCGGGTCAGGTTATACTGGAGTAAAGGTACTTAAACATCAGATTGGAGAGTGTACTTCAAAAATAAATTAGCATTTGGTACTTTGTTATAACTTTAAGATTATGAACAATTGGTTTATTTCCATTAAAAGCTCCAGATACTTCCTCATTTTCAAATACTTTTATACTAAATGTTTCATAATCTTGCTGCTCTTGACATGAAGTGTCAATCAATAAACTTTCCAGACAGTAATCAACATTTCTAACCGATGGAAGAAAAAGAATGTGGTGTTTATTCCACAATTACATGTGCCAGTAATTTTTACTCTATCATAGTCGGGTTAACCCTACTTGTGTGGAGAGTTTTCAGTATTTCTAGTTCTGCAAGCCTTCCCTTCAGATGCTGTATCAACTAAGCAGAGAACACGCGAGAGCACCTTCGTGTTTGAGATCCCACTTCTGTTTCAGTATCACAAAAACATGAAGACTAACGACCATACAGAGACTTGCTCTGTCTTTGTAGCATTATCAAACAGTGCAATAGTGGGTTTTTCTTGTGTCATTGGTACTGAAAAGTGGAATCTGTCATACAGTAACAAGGCAAGGAGAGGGCTATGAGAAACAGGCACGTTTCAGCTTTACAACCCAGTAGCCATGTCAAACAGAAAGAAAACTTGTGCAATGAAGGAACAGTTTGAAGGTCACCAGTATGAGGAATCAGGTGCTAAGTGGGAAAATAGTGACAAAGAGTACTAATATTTATTTGTGTGCAATCTATGGCTATTATTATTAATTATAGTGTTGTACTTTAAAATAAACAAAATTTTAAATTCTTTATTTCTTAAAAATGTAGCAGGTCTTCAGTGTCATTTTAGTAAACTTAAGGGACAAATTGTGTCTAAAATAATTTCAGATTTCAGTATCATTCACCATTTACATTATCTTAGCTGTTTTTCTGAAATTAATTATATTCTATAACATATTATTATTATAAATTGCTTAAGGAATATGTGATTACAAATTAGTCATAACTTTAAGCTGACTTGACAAATCTATACTCTTAAAAAAGTCATGTTTCAAAAGATATTTAAAAGTTCTAATTGGAAAAATTACTTAAATGAAATTATAAAAATAATGCACCTATAATTCTCACTAGTCTTCATAAGAACAAAATTTTATTTTTGGAGGACTAGTTAAGCTCCTATAAAAATATTTTTCTATTTGTCATAATAAAGTTAAGTTTCTATTTTGATTTTAAGGTTTTTTTCTCTTTGTGATTTTGGGCAATTTAGATCCTATATTCACAGGGGTATTTATGGTACAAAATGTAGGTTTTAAATAGAGATATACTTATTTAACATACTTGTCAATGGAGGGATACCTCGAGGGTTGAACAGCTCCAACGCCAACTTTCCACTAATGAAACAGTGAGGTCTGAAAACAAAATCTGCTTGGTGTTTGTAACTTCATTCAAGTCTAACTGAAAGTCTGACGTGAAAAAAACCTGTGTCGGCAGAGTAACTTACACATTACGTCTCGCTGCAAACACAAAGGGGTGAGGCTTCAGTCTAAATGCTGCTCTAGTTCAAACACACAGTGCTTGAGTTAATGCTTTAAAACATTTGTCTTTATGTTTTGGGGGGAGCGTGTTATTTGTGCAAAATATCATAACCATGACTCCAAAGAAAGTTAGTGGTGCCAGCTGTAAAGAAAACTGTGAGAACCACAATAGAGTTAAATAAAATCACTGAGAAATTTGAATCAGGACGGCTTTTGTCTGATTGGTGGCTGAATACAGCATGGCTAAGTCCACATTATCAGTATTTTTGGGATGGGGCAGGGTGATTAAAGCATCTAATGAAGCTAAAGGTGTGAAATCATAGACACAAAACAAAGAACCCAGCCCATTGAAGGGACTGAAAATTCACTGTTAATTTGGATAAATCAAACAACTTGATGGCGATAGCCTATCTGAGACAGTGATATGCAAGAAGGCTAAAAGCCTCCATAGGAATTTAAAGTCCTGGAAAAAATGAATTTATAAGTTTAATTTTTTGGCTTCAAAACCAATTATTTGGTTTTTCATTACTTCTTATGGGAAAAAATGTCCAGCTCTCAAGCCTTTCGGGGCTCAAACATGAATTTGGAATAAACTGAAGTATCACTATATGATGTAAGAACAAATTGTGAAAAACTTTTAAATGAACCAAAAATATCACTAGGCATCATTAATAGAAAACTATGCATTGTCTAAGCCACCCTCTTTTAAGTTGCAAGGTTTTCTATCCTGTAAAAAGTTAGTCTAGGAAATCCACAAGGGCAATTCTACTCTGACCTATAGGGATACTGAGTCTGAATCACCTAGATGGTAGTGAGTTTGGGTGTTTTGGTTTGGATTCTAGGGAGCCTGTATCTTTATTGCTTTGAGCTATTTTACAGCTCTAAAGATTAGACTAATTTGTAAAAATCAATAGTAATACAAATAATGTGTTTATAAAACAAAGAAAAGGGCAATGGTTCAAACTTACCAGCTGCTCCAAAGAAGAAATGTAGGCAGTATGCTCCCATAAAAAATTAACAAAACACCAAACAAACCAAGCCTGTGGCCATAAATTAATTCTATAGGTTCATAGTGAACCTATACGATAGAGCAGAATTGCCAGACCCTATCGAAGAAGACTGCCACATTTCTATCCGGCAGATCTGCTAGTGAGTTCATATCATGAAAATCTTTCAGTTAGCATGCTAGCACTTTAACCACTGTTCCACCCTGTGGGACAGGTCTACTTTGTCCAATAGTGTAACTAAGACTTGGAATCAACTAGAATTTCACTTGTTTCTTTTATAGACATTCACATAAATTCCATCCGGCTAGAGGTTCAATTACTTCCTTTACAATGAAAGAAGCCAGTTTATATCTACGAATTATATTTAATCCAGCCTTCTCGAGATATTTATATAGATGGATGTTTCCAGAAAAAAATCTATTACCTTTTAATTTCA